TTAGATTACATATTAATTTAATATTTCAAATAAAAAACTTAAATATTCAAAAAAATATCTAAAAATATTATAAATTATATTTTTCCGTACGAATATGATGAAAAATTATTTCAAGAAATGTCAGTAAAAATTCTTATAATTTAATTTTATAAAAGAAAGTATGAAAATTAAAAACGAAACAGACTAGAATGAAGAGAGTTAATCATCTCAATCTAATCATTAATCATGAAAAATTAATAAAATGTGCTATGAAAATATTAAGTATAACTATTTTTCTTTCAAGTCAGAAACCTTGATTGATAATTAAGTGGAAATAGTGGAAAGTATTTGATAAAAAAATGAATTTTGTCAAAAACTTTTTCATTTCGACACAAATTAATAATTGACAATTATTGATTTGGTGATCACGTGATGTTAGTCAAATTTAGTCATTTAGCCTTCTAATTAAGGACTTTATATTGACATAACTACTACGTAGAACTTAGCTCTAACTTTCTTGTCCCAAAATAAATATATTCAAAAATTAAAAAAATATTTTTAAAATTTAAAATTAAAATTAATAACCATCCACTCTTAAACAAGTTTCTCTTCAATAAAAATATTTATCCCATAATAAGAGATGATTTATAATAAACTACACATTATATTTATTGATTAGTTAATGAGCACAATTTTTAAAAATATATAAGATTTGAAAGTAGTTGAAAACTCTGGAGTCTACTATTTTATTTTTATTATTAATTATAGTAAGCTTTTTATTATTAATTTTTTAGTATGATTTTTTATTGATATTTTTATCAATACTCTAATGATTGTAGAATGACATCTGGAATGACATATAATTTAGTTGAATTTGCAGATTTGAATTGGCTGCTGACCAGTTATCTTCTTTAATTTTTTTTCCTTTTTCATCATTATTATTTTATTTTATTTTAATTTTACCTTTTCTCAACACATAATTGTTTTAGAAATACAAATGAATATAAAATACTCAGAGAAATCTACTAAATAAAATATGAGAAAAATAAAATATATGTAAATATTATCACTCTTTCATAAATTAAAAATATTTCACATTTAAACTTAGTGATCACTCTTAACGATATTTAACACGATTCTCATAATTTTAACTCTAAAAAACTATTAAAATTGAACGAACAAATATTTATTGATTCCACTTGAATTGAACTAATTTTTGGCATGTGAATAATCATTGAGACAACTTTGCACTTTCTACATAACCATTACTTTTTCTCATATACCAAACTCCAATAATTGAATCAAAATACGAGGTGCAAAAATTGCCACGTGGCACTAATAAAATCGAGAGTTGGGAACAAAAATAAGCCACAAAAATATAAAAGTAACTAAAATAAGTCACTATTTTAGTAAGCAACTAAAATAAACTTAGTGGAAGAAAAAGTTCCACTATATCCAATTTTCTAAACGTTTTCCGTTACTGACATAATGTTTAATTTTAATATATAACGGAATTTTTTCTTCCACTTTATAAAAAGTTACCTTTTCATCTTCACCTTCACCTTCTCTCCTTTTTCTTTTCATGGCTTCCAAAAAAAAAATCACTTTAAAGATGGTCATCTGCATCAAAAATTCACTTAAAAAAATAAGTGTTAGACATAGCGATAATCATCTGCATCAAAAGTAGGCGAGACATGAAAATTTGAGGATGTCCCAACATTTTTCGTCATTTCAAAGTGTGAGGATTAACCAAAATAATTATGTAGTCCATAACTTGGAGCAATATTCCTATCTTGCCGAGGTAAACCGCTACAAAATGATAATAAGAATAATAAATAATATAAATTAATAAATAATTGACAAAAATCAACAAACAATAATTGAAATATAATAATTGAACATTACCGATCACTATTATTGATAGTTTTGTTTAAATCAAAATCATATCGGCCGGTAAGAGTATTTTGATAATGAGTCATTTTAGGAAATCAGTAGATTGAGTTATCGGAAATCCATCAATGCTATTATGATTTTCTAATTAGGAATGAACATCGACCGATAAAGGAGAACGTTGTTGACTAATCTTAGGCTCCTTCCTAACATAGATTCCAAGTATTGTTGACTTGATTTGATCTATATAGTCATTTGGAACCCTTAAAAGTCGGTCAACGATTCGTCATTATATATAATTCACTCTCTAAAATTTACTTGTCCTTGTGATAAAAATGAAGTAGGGTATTTTCCGGCCATAATCAAATTATAATCGTACTGTTTATACCAATTCTTTTATAAATTGATGAAATAAATTTATGATATCGGACATTTATTGGATATTTAGCATTGTGTTTGGGAGGACAATTATAATAAATGATATTTCCGTCATGTATAATTTCGCCATCCCAATAAATTGAAACTTTAACTTTAGGTGTAGAAGATATTTTTTTTAGATTGAAATGAACAAATATAGAAGACTTTATGTTGTAGGTGCTATCAACTATGCATAAATGTCCTTAAATAGATTTTTAGAATAAAATAATAAAAATACATAATGAAATATTTTTTTCCGTTTTAATGACATATCAAATCAATATAATTTATATGACAACACTGAAAAAGCTTCTTCAAGACGTGAAAAATATTCTTCTTATAAAGTGTAATAAAAAGTTCCACTTTATAAAGTGGAATAAAAAGTTCCACTTTATAAAATGGAATAAAAAATTCCACTTTATAAAGCGGAAGAAAAAGTTTCACTTTATAAAGTGTAAGAAATAGTTCCGTTATATACTAAAAATAAACGTTATGAAACTAACGGAAAACGTTTAAACTATTACATACAGTGGAACTTTTTCTTTCACTAAGCTTATTTTAGTTACTTACTAAAATAGTGACTTATTTTGATTACTTTTATATTTTTGTGGCTTATTTTGGTTCCCAACTCTAAAATCGATCGCAATGTTATTAATTTAAGTATGTACTTTTAAAAAAAATCACTCTCGTTTTTAAAAAATAAAGAATATTTATTAACTTGTTTTTTTTATGAATATATTGAAATTAGTCAAAAAATTATTTTCTTTTCAAGTTTATGATCTAAAATAACATTTAAATATGTGTACAATTTCGATTACTTTTGTAAAGAATATTTTTAAAAATATATATATATATATTTGAAAAGTCAGATAAACTTAAAAAAAGAAAAACTATCACGTTATTAAATAGAGTTGTATTTCGATTTCTTGTGAGTAGCTTTGTATTCATCGTTAGTTCGCTTTTAGAAATATAGTCATCGTAAAATTCATTTTGTGATGTTATAATTAATTTTCTCCAAGTAAATTTACAGATAGGAAAATGAAAACAAAATAAATTGGATTGGGATAGTGAACTTAGCATACTGTACGAAAATAGAGGCCCAGAATCCACATCAAATTAAAAAAATTAAAGTTGTATAAAATAAATAACATAACAAATTTCACACATTTTTAAACCTAGAAAGAAAGTTTATTTTCGAAAGTTCCCAGCTTAAGCGAATCATGAAAAAAGACTTCTTACTAATTAATTAAAAAAATAACTTTTAGAATAAAAGTTTAAAAAAATAAATATATTTTATTAAAACATTCTTACTTAATTATTATCATTTTAATTCCCGTGTGTATTAACCACTTCCTCCGTTCATGTCATATTTACTATAAATATTTGATCAATAATACTTGTCATTTCATAAAATAAATGCATACATTATATTTTCTCTGCTCCTTTTTATAAGCCGCCTTTTAGATTGCACTAAATTAAGAAATTAAGTAATTTTATCCTTCTACCCTTATTTAATGTTTTTTTAAGTCAACTTTTCAGTATTATTTTTAATCTTCCACTCTTGGTGTTCTTGTATTTTAAAATTGTTGTGTGATTTATTGTTGTTAAGTGAGTTAAAAATTTACCGAAATATGAGAAACCATTATTTTGATGAAATAAATCGTTCTATTCCAAGAGGGTATATTATATAACCTTAGATAATGAAATTTTCAAGAAGTTTTAAGAGCTTGTTGGCGTTTAGTAATTCTATGCTCTATCAAAAAATTCTCCTTTCTTGTAGGCTCTATCAGGAAAGAGATTCAATCTTCATTAGAAGGGCACATAGTCATTTTCTAATTCCATCAATACGAACGGAAGTGTACTGTATAACTCTATGTTTATGTATAGAACTATACTAATTATTTCAAAGATATAATATGTGACCTTTTAATTGATTATATTAGTAATAAAAGATATTTAATTTGTTGTTGTGGGAAGTCTAGGACTATTATACTAATTTAAATTAAATAAAACAATATTATCAAAGTTTTTGTGAAATTAGGTCTTAGATCTAATTTACACCCTGAAAAGCTAGCTTAAATGGAGGAAGATTGCTCAAGCCCTTATAAGTAGTTCACTTATCTCATTAATCACTAATATGAGATTTTTAACATTCTTTATCACCCCACCTCACGCGCCATTGCTTAACATCTGGTGTTTGGGCAATTTTTGATTTTGGGGGCCGAACAACGGAAAGACGGACCCTGCTCTGGTACCATGCAAAAATTAGATCTTAGGCCTAACTCACACCCCGAAAGCTAGATCCATAGGGAGGAGGATTGCCCAAACCTCGTAAGGAGTCCACTCATCTCATTAACCATCGATTTGAAACTTTTGTCATTCGTAAATAATTTTTCAAATGAGATTATGATTTCTTAGATATAGAGGTATCTTTTGATCTGTGATATTTTTTATTTAACAAGTATAAAATATTAGTAATTTATAATCTTTATGTTATAAAATTTATATAAAATTTTGAAATATAAATTTTAATATTTTGAATTGATTTATAAAAATATAACAAATTAAATAAAATATTAATTTTATTTGATGATAATAAACTTCAAATTATCAATGGAATAATTTCTTCTTATTAAAAAAAATATAAGTACTACAATAATGATTTACTAAAAAAAATATATATAAATTTTGTATTTTTTCCGCGTTCTATTTTTTTAGCCGCGTCTATTAACTATATAAAAAAGAGAAGCCAGTGCGTAATTTAGAACTCAACCGACCGTCGGAATTTCTACGCTATCGACCGTCGGAATTTATGTTGAACTTTTAAGAGCTTGTTGGCTTCCCATTGGGGAATCGGAAAATCTTTGTATGGGTATTTAAGTGCTCTTCACGTTATCTTGTTTTTCTTCAACAAGTTCACTTTTGCATAATGGAATTCAAGAATCGACTTTTGCATGATGAATAAACCCTAAATTTATTTATTGATATTCTACTTCTCTTCCCATTATCTTGATATTCTTCCATTAAAAGTTGCAGGTTCGAATTCAAGAACTCGATTTTTAAATAAAAGTTCAACTCTTTTTGAAGTTACCTGGTATTGTTAGATTTTCTTGGAATAATTTGTTTTAAGAAAAAAAACCCAAGAAATTGTTGACTTTTTCAACTTACATTGTTATTCCTTCATGTCTTTTTGAATTCACAGTATTCTTCAATGCATATTTTAAAGAAATTGAAGTTTTCAAGAATATATTGACATGATAAATATCAAGGAATTTTGTTATTTTTCAAATAACTTATGTTGTTATCCTCATAATATTAATCTTTTAGGGAAATTAAAAAACCGAATTTGCTATTTGGAGTTCAATTCGGTCTGGGTTTGTCTTGTATGATTTCACAAGAGTTGTTGAGGAGTTAGTTTTCAGCATGGGTATTGTGATTTGTAGTATTTTGAATGAAGACAATCAATTAGACAGACTTCGTATACACCCTCACTGGCCATTTTCCTTTGCATGGTCTAGATTTTTCGACTTTGATTGTTTCTTAAATATGGAAAATAATGCCATGTAAGAGAATGAGAAATTTATATGGATAATCTTTTCTGATTTTGTTAATGTTTTCATTGGAGGACCAGTAGACGTGGACTCTGAAAACATCATAGTTAAGTGAACAACGATGGCAAGTCGTGCTTTCATACAGTTTTAATTGTTTAGACTAATTGCACCAGCGAAGTTGTCGGTGGCTTGCACAAAAGGTGAGACTATTCATTTTCAGCTTCCATTTTCTTCTGGGTTGAAACAGAGGAAGGGTTTTGGGGTGTTAAATCCATTTAGGTGTTTGTCTAATTGTTCTATTTCGTCTTCAGCAAACCCGTTGGAGTGGTCAAGAAGGTTATCGACGAAAAATTCATCAACTGAGGACTGTTGGTGGGCTGCTTCCAAGGCTGTTTTTCAATGCCTGTTAAAAGGCCAAAAAGAGAAACAGATGGGTATTTACAGGAAAGAAATCCCTTTATAGTAGATAGTCCTAGCATAGCATAATTCATTTATTATTCACCGCAATCGAATCCCTACATTATTATTTACCGCATAACAGTTTTTACATTGTTATCGCTGCTTAAACATTCCCTGTATGATTACTTTTACCAAATAATGTCTTACTATTTTGTATTGCAATTTTGTGACATTACTGAAGAAAGGGAGAGTGATATAGGGTGCTTTATCTTTTGTTACAACACTTTGTGACTGCCTCGTGGAGTATATTCTTCTGTAGATACTGAGGACCATGTCAATAAATGTCTATCCCTTTTGCGTAGTCGAGGATTATGATCTTTTGTTTTAAGTGTAGGTTAAGAGAGGAGTGGCTTGACTAATTGCCACAAAAAAAAGAAAAACATGTCAGTTTTTCATTTTTGTTCCATGTTAGATGTGCAATCAACTTGCAAGAAATAATGTGCAGCATTTAACTCCCTTCGTTGGCAACATTGATAGTGAACCTGTTTATCTGATAAAGCTATTTTGAAGTGTTTTTCAAGAATCTCTTATGGTGACTAGTTGATTTTTAATGGTACTTGTAGGATTGGCGCTCCATTCTTCTCTTTGTTGAGGATACTGTCACGAATCTTTGGACTGTAAGTAACTCTGTCTGTGAGAGCAACTCCACATTCCCTTTCCTGTAGGCTGCAGCCCCAGTTCAGTTACTATCTCTTAAGCTACTTTTGGAAAACCTGACCGGAGAGTGTACTGTCAGGAGAGAGATTCGATCTTCAACAGAATATTCTGTTGGAAAGTTCTTCTGAAAAGCACGACACCGTGTCCAGATTCATCTCTCAGACAGAATTTCGAAGTTGGTCAATTCATTGATCTCTTGATCATTGCACAGTTTGTGTAAACTGGAAATCCAGAAACTCAGAGCAACTCCTTTCATCCAATGCAGGTAATTTGCTCTTGAGTGCTCGTATGTGTTAATAATCAATGATGTCAGGAAGTGTGTGCGACTAATTAATGTTCTTTTCCACTCTGCAGAAACTAGAGCTTTAAGGGAACTGTAGCATTCTGCAAAAGCTATCTTCTCAGAGCTTCCACAGCAGTCATACCATCAGTGCGATCAATCTACCGCCCAAAGTTGTGGTGACAATGTATTCTGATGAAAGGTAATATTATCAAATTTGTACGGAGGGTAGGTCTCTTTCTGATATTATCTCCAATATGTTAGTAACTACCATAACCTGATGTTTCTCTTTTCAGTTCAAGTGTGAAAATTAAACTTGTTAACATGTGGAAAAGCTAATAAAAAACTCAACGGGGTACTCAAGTACCTGCTATGGGGAGTCAAAAGAAGGTTATTAATCCTGCCATATGTTCCTGACCTGAATTTTTCTATTGCTTGTTTCAGTTAATTAGCTTAATTTCTTTCACCCACTTTTCACGATTTTCTTAGACTGCATTCTTAATGACCACGAAAGCATTAGAGCCACAGTCTTTTTCTAATTCCGTCTTGCTATTGTTCTAATCCTATATTAATTTTGAAGTTAACCTCAAGTATTAAATTTAATGGATAATATTTCATTCTTTTAACAGTTACATGTAATCACAGTGGGAGGAAAAACCACCTTTCAAATAGTGTGTGATTATGTGCTGAGTCATGCATGCTGGCATATAATCCAAAAACACTAAAGTTGCTTCGGTCACTATATATCACTCACTTCATCACTCCATTAAAGCACAAAATAATCTTCTCTTTTTCTTCCTTTACTTTGCTTTCTCCATTTTTTTCTTCTTCTCTTCTCTCTATTGTTATTGGGTCTCTTCGTAACAAGGGCGGTGCTAAGGAGGTGCAAGTAGAAATTATAAATGTTGAGGAGGAAATGAAGAAAAAAATAGAAAAAAGTTCAGGTGAAATCCCTCCATTAGATGTGAAAGACTATGAAGATCTAGGGTTGATTTGGAGAAATTAGGTGAAATTAGTTATGAAAATGTTGGCATAGATTTTCATGCCATGTTTTCTGATTTTTTTCCTAAAGATGAAGAGAAGGCTTAAAGGAGATGCTCTGAACTCTTTCCTGTCATTTTTTTTTTTTTTGAGGATTCTCTTTTCTGTCATTTCTTTGTTGGAAATTGTTACTAAAATTCATGGGAGGCTAAATGTTTCATAAAAGCTTAATTAACGTTAGTGCATCAGCAATGTCAAAAATTATGTAGTTATTCAAAAGCGATGCTTAATTAATTCGTATGCACCAATGTGAAAAAAATTGTGCAGGTAACGAGTCAACTACAACAAATTTAATATGGGATTAGAAAAAATTAATTCTAATTTATTGTATTAATAAAACTATTTTTTAGTATTATTATTTTGATTTTGCCGTGAAAACTATAAATAACACCCACATGTCATGACACACCACATGCACATTTTAGAATTCACCACTGTCACTTACACCAACCACTTGTCCATACACTATCGGTGCATGTTAGAGTACACCGGATTTCTGTTCTTTAACCGTCCCAATGACTATGTATCTTCTCATATACTAGTACTACTGCTCAAGTAATTTTTTTTTGGAACCGAGGTTAACCTGCAGACACTACAACCTCTAGTATAGCCTCTGCACTTTGTGAGCACTTTGCAGTCAATGATCGTTATGTATTTTACAAATAGCCAGTTCCAAGGAAGAAAATGCACTACAAATAATAGTTTTCTCACAATTCAAAACAAATAAAAAGATATTGATTTACATACTTTACTTTTAAATTGTACTCTTTCCTGATTGATCTTTTGGTGTTTACATATATAATCTGGAAGTCCTGAGAGGGTCTTGTATTCTCTGGAAGAGTCTCTGCTAAGAATCTCCCTTGTGCATCCTAGTGTCTCCTACAAATTTGTTGATATTGAAAGGTCTGTCTTTGTTATTTCAGCTAACTTGAGGATATTTCCTGTCTGCTTTCTTCAGATTTTGTTTATTTGTATGCAGTGAAGATGACCTGCTATGCACACGTGCTTCTCCTTCTCCATTGCTGCCATTATCCAGTGGGTTTTGAAGTGATCTGAGTACCCATTGAATGCAAGTGATGGTTCATTCAAACTCTGAAGATACATCTCAGGTCCTGAAATACAATTCACATCTCTTATTTAGTGCTTGAGGGACCAACTTTGTACTAACACCTTGCATTATCTAATATTGGACACCAGTTAAGCACAAAGTTAAGAAGCCACCTTAGTTTGCTTATAGTGAAAACATAAGAAACTGAATATCACTGGATGATCTGGCTAGAGAAGTTCCAGTGGTTGGAAGTTTACCAGGAAAGTTAACGTTGTCAGAAAAATGACCACTTCTCTACAGGAATAATCACCAACAAGAGGCACGACTTTGTGGAGGGTAGGTGCGACATGACTAGACGATCATCTGAAAAGAGTCACGCATCTGTCTGAAGGTTATACGAAAGAGGCATGACTCTGTTAGAATGGTTGTAGTAGAGAGGCATGACATTGCTAGAACTATCAGTGGAAAGATGTCTTCTTAACCAGTTGCCTAAAAGAGGTATGTTCTTCCGGAATGACCACGAGAGAGAGAGAGAGAGAGATGCGATACTGAAGAGAGAAGGCACCGATAGTACAGCGTGCAGGTCTTTGGTAGGTGGGTGGGTTGTCGGAGAGCAGTAATGCTAGTTGCCGATATGGAGAGTCTAAAGAAGGTAAACCATTCTTGCCATTTGTTCCTGTGATGATATGGCCCTAGGGCCTAACCGAACCCTAAAAGCCGGCTCATGGGGAGACGATTGTCCAAGTCCATTTAACAGTCCACTAGTCTATTATCCAATCGGGAGCTCAAGCAAGATGAACCTTTCTCTCATACCGTGTGTAGATATGACCCTTGGTCTTGATTCAACCCCAAAAGCTTGCTCATGAGGAGAGAATTGCCTAAGTCCATATGAGTAGACCACCAATCCATTCTCCAACCCACTCTAACAGTTCCCGTCCTGAATAAGAGCTTAATATTTCTATTGCATGTTTCAGTTAATTAGCTTCATTTCTTTCAACCACTTTTCAAGTTTATCTTAGACTGCATTCGTATGAATCATCAAAGCACTAGAGATTTCAGTGTTTCTTTTAAGTGTCCTAGTCCACATAGTCTCTTTCAAATTCCATCTTGCTTATGTTCTGATTTTGTGGTAGAAATGTCATGCCTGACGTTTTTATTCAAGTTTTCAGAATTTGCACCAACAAAAAACTCAAAGTATCTTATATTCTTGGACAAAATGGAGGAGCCTCTGTCCAGAGATTACAGTTGAGTACCTTAACTATATCGCAGACGGTTTTGTGACTTCCTCTCTATTTTGTTAATATGATGGTCTCTTTTCTTTCCAATTTCAGATGCAGAGCGCTCCTGGAACTAGTGTTAAGAATCAGAATAATATACTCGATGGCACTTCTGGTATCTTGCATCTTGTTGGTGCTTGATGGGTTCCTGATATCATTGATAAAAACTGCCTGGTGGAGGATTCCAAAGTTCTTTAACATGTTGATAAGAAGTTTATTACGCTTGTAGACGGAAGAACACTTGCTATAATTGATCAGGTCTATACTGTCCTTGGCATAATCCATTATGTTCGTTCTTGGTTTCTCATAAATTTCCTTACAATGCATTTGCTTTCAAAACTGTTTCTCTTAGGAGTCGTTTGGTTGGAATCATTAGCAAATACAAATCTCAGCATAAACTTCGGCATAATAGTATAATATTTGTTGGTGTCATGTAAGTAAAAGTGATAACTGCAGAACTATGTATCACTCAGTTATCTGCATAAGAACAATAAGCTCGACATAACTTATGCAGCGTCTGGTTGGCAGTATTTAACTGTTCATTATAATATCCTCATGACTTATGCCAGAATTATGCGGGATAGATTATGATCTTTTGTTTGATTCTAGCATTTATCTTTGTTGAGCATTACACTCATTATCATGTTCTACAGCATGCTGCAGATGAGCGAATTCGTTTGGAAGAACTGCGTGAGAAGGTCATTGATGTGTCATTTCGAAGTGGAGTCTGTAGCTTAGTGAATTATCAGGTCCTATCTGGACAAAAGAGGAAAACAACCTATCTTGATTTCGAGCAAGAATTGTTATGTTTATAGTCATCTTATGTAAAATAGATTTGCCTTGCCCTGCTTGCCTTGTGTAGAAGACTTGAAACTCTTTATAAAAGGTAATATCGATTTTGAATCTTTGACCCTACTTTTGCAGTTCATGCCTGAAATCGGTTACCAATTATTACACAATTATGCTGACCATTCGAAACTGTGGTTGTGGTTGGATCTGCAACATTTATTCTCTAGCCTCAAGATTATTTACCAGGTAAATTATGGATCTTTGTTTATATTTTCATCAGAACCGGTCTGGAACTTGATAAAGTTGCCATTTACCTAAAATTCCATTCCACTAAATTTGCAGCATTCATTGAAGTTTAACCTAACTCTAGCATGAAATGATATGTTTTGGTTAAAGCGGGAGCTTAAATCTGATTCACAAGCAACCAACATATGTTACACTCCTCAGGGTAACATTCTGTAATACTTGTTTGTCATATTATACATTCAAAAAGTTAAGTACCTGTAAACCATTGCAAGTCAGTCTTATAAAGGAATGGTAAATATAGTATTGATTGTAGTTGTTAAATACAGGATTAGGAAGGGCATCAACTATTAGATCATGAGAATTGGGATTAGGAATTATTGGGAATAAAGCTACAGTGTAGTAAATACACAAGGGCTGGGAGAAAATGGTCACCTGCATTCTAGAGCCTTTTACTACACTTTTGTGCTTATTCTTACGAATTCCTGTTCTTCTTTCTCAAGGGTATGTTCATGTCTAACTGTGGAAAACAAAGCATGATGACTTCTCAGTCTACTTATTCCATTCTGCGGTATCAATTCTACAATTTATATTAGTTCTGTGCTCCATCTTGTTGAAAGCAAAAAGGATTTTATGTTTTAATTGGGTTTGTTATAGCGACTGAATTATGAATTGGAAAATCGGAAAATCTAATCTATCTATGGGTATTTTACTGCTCTTTCCACAGGAAAGTTCAAGAACTTATGTTGGAATTCAAGAACCCGACTTTTGCATAATTGAATTCAAGAACTCAACTTTTGCATAATTGAATTCAAGAACTCGACTTCTGCATGATGATTTTTACAAGAAAAAATCAAGAAGTTGTTGGTATTCCCCTAAACCCTAAGTCAATCATCCGTTGATCTATTTATTGTTATCCTACTGCTCTTACCATTATCTTGATGTTCTTGTATTAAAAGTTGCACATTGGAATTCAACAACTCGATTTTGCATGTTGGATTTTTAATAAAAGTTGAAGAACTTTTTGGCTTTGAAAGAAAATTCAAATATTCATTTTTTATAAAGTAAGTTATGTTGTCATCCTCTCAATGTCTGTTAAGGATGTTCAAGAATTTGTTTCCCCTGCTTAACTGACAAACAGGAACTTGTTTTGAATGAAGACACTGAATTGTAGACTTAAAACACCCTCACTGGCCCTTTTCCTTTACAAGGTCTGGACTTTTTGACTTTGATTATTTCTTAAAAAACAGAAAATTGTTTTTTTGAGAAAAAAAAACAATTTTCTATTTTTTAAGAAAAATAGAAAATTGTGTTACGTAAGCAAATGGGTAGTATCCATTAGGATAGGTATAAAACAACTAACGCGGTCTTTGTTGTCCTTGAAGGCCCCACTCACATAATTACTGGCTCCTTTTCTTTACAAAGTCTAGACTTTTTGACTTAGATTATTTCTTAAAAATGGAAAATTTTGCTAGGTAAGAGAATGAGTAGTATCCATTAGGATAGGTATAAAACTACTAAATTGGTCTTTGTTGTCCTTGAAGGCCCCACTCACATAATTACGGAGATGAGATATATTTGTTATTGATCATTACTATATGTAGAGATGTTTGATAATTTATTCTTACTGAAGTTGAGTTGGAACATACATATTGGTGTTCAAGTACTTTACTTATGGAGACAGTATGTGTGTCTCTTTCTTTCATATTCTTTTATGCTTCCTTTTTGTCTGACCATTCTAACCATGTTTTCAAATGCTTCCTTTACACCAGCGACAGAAAAAACAGCCGATATGCATGCTTTGCCAGCAAGCTTTGACTTTAAAGCAGAGGGTTTGAGCTCTATTTCCGACATTTTTTTTGTTGGAAATTGTTACTAAAAAGGCTCACGGGAGGCCTAATAGATATCGTAGAAAAGTTTTAACTATCAATGATGACAGGAAAAGTGTGCAACTAGTTAATATTCCTTTCCATTGTCCAGAAACTGCATCATTTTCTACACTTTGTTTCCCTAACAACCATGGCTTAATTTGCAGGTCCTTCGGTATTTCTTCATCAACTTATTTCAGTATGTTGTCCTGGCAAAAGAAACAGAAACCTAAACTTTGGTTAATATTTACTAATATCGGATGCTTGTTTTTTTTTCTGTTTTTGTTTTCCTTGGCCTTGGTAATGCAAATATCAATTCTAGATTTTTTCCAGAAGATCAATAATTAAATTACTTCATGACATAGCTGTGTGTTTTGACAGTGCTTCTGACATTGAGAAGCAAAGTAGATATCAGATATATCCGCTGTTTTTGTTGAACCTAAACTGTCCATGATCTTTATATGACTCAACTTTGGAATCCTTCAAATACCTCTGAGCAATTTAAGGTGAGATATTTTGTTGGTATTTATGTTTTAGTTTGTTTCTGGGTTGAGAAACGAATGTGGGTCTTGTCTTTGGATTTGTTTTTATTGAATCCTGTTTGTGTTGGGGTTTGTTTTGAGAGAATTGGTTTGGGCTGTTTTCTGTTTAAAAAAATTGAAAAGACCTCATCAATTTTTTGAAACTTTAATATGGGTGAAATTTATATGTTAAAACTGGCTATACATCATTATTTATTACTATCCGTATAAGATTTCAAAGTATCATAGAGGAGCCCCTGACAGGCAAGGCCCTTCCTTCACAGCTGTTCCTGGAGAACAATTCAAAACCACGTTTCTAGCTTCTGTTGGTTGCAAAACTGAACAGGCCAATGATCTCAATTTTGAGGTTTTTTTTAAAGAGGTAGGGGACTTGATCAGCTGATGTTTATGGGTCAGGTCTTTCTGAATTATATTATATGATGGTGATGCTTGGTCACATATACATTCATAGTGAAGAAAATCTTAATAATTATTTAAAACCACAGCTATTCTCTCCTCTAAGTTGGATGGGACTCGCATAAATAAATAAAATAAAAAAATTTCCTTCAATGTAGATAGTCCCTGCGTTGCATTATATTATTCACCGTGTAATAATCCCCACACGTTTATTTACCACATAACAGTTTTTACATTACTATAACTGAATAAGTAATACTTTAATCAAATAATGTCTTACTCTCTGGTATTGCAATTTTGTGATATTACTAAGTAAAGAAGAAAGATATAGTGTGATTATCTTTTGCTTCATCTTTTTGTGACTGTCTGGCGGAGTATATTCTTGTGTAGAAACTGAGGCCTATGTCTAAATAAATGTTGTCCCTTTTTACATAGGCAAGGATTGTTATCTTTTGTTTGATTCTAGCATTTATCTCTGTTGAACATTATCTTTTTTCGAGAACCGCCTACAGTTCCAACTAAAAAGAACTAAAAGTGTGAAATAATTTTTTTTTCATTATCTCAGTTGAAGTACTGAGCCTCCCGATATCGGGAGACTCAGTACTTCAACTAGTCTCCATGTTCCTCGAATAGATCTCTTAGTTGTTGAGAAGGTTGCCAACCGCACAAGCCTGGGCTGGGCCTACCTCCATCCCTAGAGGAGCCGTATGAGGCGGAAGCTCCACGTACGGTTATGAAGCCGAGCCTTTCCAGCAATGGGGCCTAGGGACCGATATGATAATTGGTTTAGGTAGGGCGGCTGGCCTACTGCATAATAATGTGAATGAGTCTAATCTCTTCCATCTGAGGGATGAATTGTTGGAATATATGAAACAGGATATCCTTTTATTAGGGGGTGTTATGCATAGAGCTCAAGAAATATACACTCATTGTCATGTATTACAGCATGCTGCAGATGAGCGAATATTCGTTTGGATGAACTGCACGAGAAGGTAATGATTGTCTAAAAACTCAATGAAGTGTCATTTAAACTTGGAGTCCGTAACTTACTGAATTACCAGGTCCTATCTGGAAAAATGAAGATAACAACCTATCTTGATTCTGAGCAAGGATTGGTGCGTTATTTTGATAAAAGGTAACATTGATTTTGAGTCTTGTGGTGATGTCTTGAAACTGTTCATGATAGGTAACATTGATTTTGAGTCTTTGACCATGCTTTTCCTGGTCATGCCTAAATTTGGTTACCAATTACTACACAGCTATGCTGGCCAAATTCAAAACAGGGTTTGGATCTGCAACATATATTATTAAGCTTCAAGATCATTTACCAGGTGAGTTACGTCTTTGTTTAGATTTTTCATCACACAAACAGTCTATGGAACTTGATAAAATTGCCATTTACCAGAAATTCCATTGCACTAAATCGCAACATTTATTGAAGTCAAACGTAATTCTGATTCACAAGCAGCCAACATCTGTCACACTTCTTGCGGTAACACTCTCTAATACTTTTCTCTGTCTAATACTTGTCTCCGTCATATTATACAAAAGTTAACTACATGTAAACCATTTGCAAATCAGCCTAACAAGGGAAAGGTATTGGTACTGATTGTAGTTGTTAATACAGGATTGGTTGCTCACCTACATTCTCAAAGCTTTTACTGAACTTCATAGCTTATTCTCTTCAACATTCGTATTCCTCCCTCTGAAGGATATATTTCTGTCTAAGAGCACTTCTATTCTGAGGTATCAATAGCACAGTTTATATCAGTTTTATGCTCCATCTTGTTAAAAGCAAGAAGGATTTTTTAGGGTTTAAGGCTTTTTATTCGCTATGTTGGTCGGACTCTTCAAAAATGTCTGCGGGTGCTTGTTGGATTCGCCAAAAATAGTGTATTTTTGGAGAATCCGAGACGGGTGCGACATCAAAACTGGAGAGTCCGCGGAACTAAGTTTATTTGTGCCCTTTATCTCCCAAGGTCCATTTATGTTTTGATTGGGTTGATTCTAGCAAGTGAATCATGAATTGTAACTTACAAGGGAAGAGTGTTTTTGTTCTAATACATCAATGACAAGGCCTTGAAGCTTGAATTTCAAGCTTCCAACTTAATATGGAGAACTATTCATGACATCATTCATGTTTTAGGAAATATACTCCACTAGCTAATAAGATGTTGGTTCATCTTAGAACAACAAACTCGGGTTAATAAGCATTTCTTGTCCAATACTTAACTCTTTTCCTCTCCCCACCGAATATCCCTCTCAAAAACGGACCTCCTATGATGATATCCTTGCACTTTGTCAATCCAAGTTGAGTCATAATCGCTTCAGCATGCACGGTTTTCTCAACTGTAAATGTTTTAGGAAATATATCCTATAATTCATAAGAAAATGATTGTTTTCTTGATAATACAAGTTCCCTGTATTTTGGGCGTTAATCTAACTGATGTGGATCTGAGACACTAACTAGCTCTCATATTTCACTCCATTTAACTCTAAATCTTTCCTCATGTGGAATCTTTGCTTAAATGCCATGTCATGTTCTCTGAATAATGTATTTACAACCCACAGCTTACTGATACAGATGGATCATCAATAGTACCCCCATCAGTGAACTGGGTTCTGAATAACAAGGCGGGAGTACAATAATGTTTGAAGACGCATTGTTTCCTTGAGAATGTTCTCTCATTGTTGAGGAAAATTGCATTTCAGGTGTTGGAACTGCATTTGATGTTATTTTTAAGAGAGAATTCCATATCATTAATAGCATGTTTTCATCCATTAGTGTGCTCATGGGCAAGCGACTACTGTCCCTCTTGCCAACTTGGGTACTCTGCATGAGCAGATTGCTAAGTTAGGTTCGTGGAGTAGGAGTTCCTCTGAGGCCTGTCATGGATTGCGTTGGCATGAAACCAACTTAGAGCTCTCATGAGTATACCTACCAAGCAATCATTTCGAGCTGAAATCAGGTTTGCGATCTTTACAGTCACCTCCTTATTCCGTCCGTCTTTTACTTAATGATTTCAACCAGTTCAACTAAAAGCTGAAAACAAAAGAAATTGGGTTGGGCAAAAGTGATGTACAAAAACAAAGAACTTAGCATACAATATTCCTTATTTCAAATCGTGCTCTAATTTTACCAAACGAATCGACCAAATTCCTTAAGACATGGTGTCCGTCTTAATTTTCTGTATGAATTGAACATTTCATAATCTTTTGTCTCGTATTTGATGTCTTCAAGAAGAAATAATCTTTTGACCAATTCTTTCAATTCAAGACAAAAGAACAAAAAAGGAAATTTCAATTTGACCTGTTAGTTATATCTCTAAAAAAAAAAAAATTATTGTGGATTGTGTTAAGTTGCAAAAACGTGTTTCCCTGCTGACGATCAAGCTTTATTTAATTCCTTTTTTAGGTAAAATACAATTGGCCTTAAAATTGATTTTTTTTTTTTTAATTCAACGAAACTATCTTACAAAATTCTTTGCTCATGCATGGATCATTATATTTGACTACCGTGTTTTCATATGTTATTTCCATTTCAATTTATATAACAATATTTGAATGGTGCTAAAATATTTAAGTCATTATTTTAAAACAAACTGATAAAAAATAATATATATATCTGTTTGAAGAGATCCAGCCAATCATCTTATTGACAAGTTCACCTGATGGACGGTTGATTAGTTCATTATATTCAAAATTTTACTGGAATTTTGATTAGATTTGCATCACATTGCAAGGAGATAGCGCTTTCAACATGAATTTTTCTATTTCTAGGACTTGAATTAGAAAACTCTTAATTAAGGACGAAGAAATCTCACCACTGCACCTATTGATAATTCCTTAAAGACTTTGTTGTCTCGTGTAAAACACATAATTTTAACTAGTTAATTTATTTTCTTACAATTGTTTTTTATTCTTATTAATAAATAAATTGGCAAGTAGATTCTGTCTGGTGAGGTGCGTACCAAGTCAAAGTCAGCAAGAAGAATAAGAATCAAAAGAATTATTAGATGGCTACTAATAATATATATTAAAAAACAATCAAAACTATATTTGACTATATATTTAATTAGAAAGCCCTTTCATAAAATAGGTGACTAATTGCTAATATTTCTTTATTCTTTACTCAATCAAATTCAACCTCCACCTTGGTGAAAAGGCGACATTTATTGTTAACATATTGTATAGAATTTTTTTAGTTTCGATTTTGGTGTTCGGGGTTTATATTGGATTAGTGATTAAATTTGAATCGCGAATTACATAATTCATTTTTAAAAGCTTGTCTTTATTAAAAATTTAAATCTGAAATCTTTAATTGAGGGTGAAATAATCTTTTCATTATACCAAAATCTTTATTGATAACATACACGGTATAATTTAAAACTATATATAGTCAATCTTATTGGCCTAAACAAAGTAGCTAAAAGCAAACAAAATTGTTGTATGCTTGTTATCAATTTATATTTAAATTTTATACACTTACAATACTTTTAAAATTTGCAATATAGTAGACAATTGAAGGTAAGAAAGAGAGCATCGAGATCAATTTTTAGTGTCATCTGAAAATCTTTTTTCATTTAGGAGAATAAATATAAAAAAGTATATCACCGAAAAATAAAAAGTTAGCGAAGAACAACTTCTATTGCTTAATCATGAAATTTAGTAGTTAATCTATTTAACAAGAATTAGTAAAAAAAAAATGGTTGTTAGCTACAAATTATTTATCAACGAAGAAAAAGAGTAGACGATATATTAGTGTTGCTTTTTACATAAAAACAAAAAATATACTAGCTTTAATTTCCATGTTACAAGCTGGCCATGCCAATTATTAATTTTTTTTATTTGGCCAACGTGTAAGACTTTTAATTTCGAAAAAATTAAGTAGGACTCACTTTTATTTTTTCTTTTTCCACATTAATTATTGATAAAGTATGTCAGCTCCCGCGTGAAACTATATCCATTTAATTTTTCGCACGTTTTTATCACCACAAAAAATCAAGTTTTCTAAAAATAGAATGAAATATCATCTTATAAAACTACACTATCCCAAATATGTTACTCATAACCTGTTTTTCAATTTTGAAATTCCAAAAATGGAAAAAGGGTCAAAAATATTTTTGAATTATAAAAAAAAAAGTTTAAAACCACCATTCATTCATCTTTTGATCTAAAAATATTCTTTCATTCATCTTTTTGCTCACCTATATATACTCTTGCAACTAACGGTTCTTTTTTTAAAAATAGTTATTATGTGTTATTTTCTTATTGGATGAAATAAAAATTTACTTTTATTAATTTTCCTCATAATTTATTCAAATCAAAACAATGTGTCTTTTATGGGGGATTACTAAATTTAAAGAAATATATTTTTTGGATCTATTGTTTTGATTTGGATAAATTATAGGAGAAAAATTAATAGAGGTAGATTTTTATTTCATCAAATAAGAAAATGACATGTAATAACTATTTTTTTAAAAAAGGGTTGTTAGTTGTTAAAAAAAAGGTTATAGTTCAAGAGTATTTTTGATCATTTTTCCGTTCAAAAAAATATACTATTTTATAAAAATAAAATAACACTCTATCCGTTTCATTTTATATGTCATATTTAAACTTTGCACTTGCATTAAGAAATGATGTAATTTTACTCTTCTACCTTTATTTAATTTTTTTTAGAACTCAAGTTTTCAATCAATGAATATGAATTAATTTAGTTTGATCAATAATCTAAGAACATGAATTATTTATTTAGCTTTTCTAAGTTGATCAAATGCATATTTTTAAAGCTAACAACTTACAAGGATAAAAAAACAATATGATATTATGCGTTAATTTTATAAAAAAATAAATATTATCGTCTAACTATTTATAAAAATAAATGATATATAAAATAAAATGAAAAAAAAAACTTTTTTTTTTATTATGATAAAACGAGTATTGGTTCGATGAGTACATATTTCTCGAGCCAAGTAGATTATTATTTTTAAACTAAACTTTCACATTCACCAGACAAATTGTCGAGATGTTCACTTCCTATAATAAATTAAAATTAATGCAAGTCAAGTCAACTACTATGTAGTAAATAATCTCACGTTCTCCTCTTGTGTTACTCTATTCGCGTTCAATAATAGTTATTCATTATATTGTTTTAAAGTATTTAATAATATCTGTTCACTTTATAAAATTAATAAATAATCTTATATTTACTATTGATTATAGTCATTTCTCTATTACATGTCACAAAACATTGTATTTATATTTTTAAAACATAATATAGTGAAATTGATCTTCTATTTATAATTGTTTAAGAAACGTGGAAAGTCAATAATAAACCGATATTATTAAACAAATGGAGTATTTAATTTCATGTTAATTTATGACTAAGTAGACCCCTCAACAACAAAGACAAATATAGAGTTTCAAAATGATAGATATACTAATATAAGAAGATTGATCTAAAATATAATTTGAGAAAGAACAAAAGCATCTATTTCGATTAAAATACATACTTATTATCACAAAAATGACATATATAAAAAAATAATTTAATCAATAGCATTATCAAATAATAATTGATCATACATTAAGAAAAAGAAGAAGATAATTTTACAAAATTAATACTATTTTAATTAGCAAATAATGACATGAACGAATCTTTTATCAGCAACCGTTTATTAAAACTTATCCATTTGGTAAAGTAAATTTCACATTAGTCCATTTTTAAGAAAACACACATATCCCTCATTAAGATTTTAGCGTTACAAAAATTAATAGTAATTTCTTTTGTATATAAGAGAGTGGACAGACTTGTTCTATTGTGAATTGTTCCCTCAACGACGTGAGAAATTATACCAACTTGTTGTCTATACATATCTGTGAAATTATACCTACCAAGTCTGGTCCTAACTACTGCCAATTCTATAAAATTCCCTTTCACCACTATAATTATTTATGTACTACTTATTACAACTCTGTTCTAGTTGAAAATGTATGTCTTTTTGGCATTTTCTTGATTCTTGAGAGTCTTTTGAGGGTTTTAACAAGAACCCATTTAGTTTTCTTGAAATTCTTGATACATCTGAAGCTGAAATACTGTGTTTCAAGATAAAGTTTGAAATTTTGTTGGGTTGAGGGTTAGTAATGGCAGGTGGGGGTGATGGTACATCAAGGCAACTTGATCAAACACCAACTTGGGCTGTGGCTGGTGTTTGTGCAGTTATTATCCTCATTTCTATTGCCTTAGAGAAGATATTGCACAAACTTGGAACGGTATGATGACATAAAAACTTAGTCTTTCTTTGTTTCTTTAATGACCCTGTTCGTTGACCTTCTTGTTTTGCGTTTAGGAAGAAGAATTCTTGAATTTTGTTGTTGATGTTTCTTGAAAATATCCTGTTTTTTGTGAAAAAATGTTTGTCTTTATTTAAGTTAATTTTCACCCTTAATTGTTCTTGTACTTTATCAACAAGTCTTAGCCAAGAGCATTTATTAAAGTGGGACCTGTAGTAGCTCTCTTTTGTGTTTCCTAGTTTTGGAAATCAAGGGTTTTAAGTTGCAGCTATGTTGATAATTGACTTCTTATTTTGTAACATCATTTGACTGTGGAAGTCTTGCCTTGCCAAATTGGAAGTGATATCATGTCAACTATAAACTCTAGAACCTACAAAATGTTCTTGATTGCTCAGATGCTTGTTGCGTCCTCTATATAATGATGGTGACCGAGCCTGCTTGCACGCATCTTGATTATTACTCTGTGTCAGCTATAAGGAAAATGCACAATGGAAAAAACAAAGTGCTATCTGTGGGAGTATATGTATATGAGTTCTCGGTAATCATAATTCATAGTTTTACTATGGCTATTCAAGTTGAGCTCGTGTTTATTTACAGTGATCCCTAATTTGTCATGGAAGTTACATGATTGAACAAAGGAGTGAGTGGATTCAAATGAAGCGGCATTGGTATTGAGGATTCGTATAGCTAAACCAGTCTAGAGGGTCGGTAGTTACTGTTTCTGTTGTTAATCTGCTGCTGTAATATTAGCTCTCAAATCTTTTGCTTTTAAGAAAGCTGTAGTCTTTATATGTATGTATCCTGGATGATTTGCTTTAGTACTATTGTTTCCTCTGTTGCATATCGAGAAACAAGGAACTACGACTACTGTTTTCTCACTTGGTTGGTTTATTTGTGCACTTTTGAGTTGTTTTACACATATTGGTTCTTTGGACAACATAACTTCTGATTGTTGTAATTGGTTCTTTCTGCATCTTATTTAATTTTGACCAGTAAACCAGGGATAAGAGTGAAAAATAGTTCAATGTTTGTGTTGTTCCTTGTGAACTTATTCCTTTGTGCTGCAGAAAATATCAATAACATTGAGTTCGGATTCATTTTTCGTCCTTTCATTTAATTGTAATAACTTGCTTCTTTTTATTTTCTTCATTTTTCCCCTTTTTGGCTTTTGGTCAGCATTTTATAACCAAGTTTGCTCCGCTATTGCACTGATATTGAAGTTTGTTGTCTTAAAGTTTTTTACTTTTCAAAACTTATTTTAATTGCATGAGTTGATGTACTCAGCTCATTTGTTGGTTCCTTGAATTACTACTACTATAGAAAATATGAATAACTGACACAATGAAATCTTTGCTCAGTGGTTGACTGACAGGCATAAAAAAGCTCTCTTTGAGGCCTTGGAGAAGGTTAAGGCCGGTAAGATTTTTTCTTTCTCCTCTTGTTATCATTTTTTTATTAGAGGTGACGTGTTTCCATTTTGATTGAATCATCTAATTCTTGCAGAGTTGATGATTCTCGGTTTCATCTCGTTAACCCTTGTATTTAGTCAATATTACATTGCTGGAATTTGTATCCCCCCAAGTGTTGCTGATACAATGTTGCCATGCCCTGCAAACAA